CCTCCATAAAGATCAGAAATACAAAGATAGCTGACAGTGGAAACTACACCTGTGATTTTCCAAAGATTCAACCAAGACAAACCTTCTACATTGAGCTTGTTGTTGGTGAGTTTTCATTAAACAGTTAATATCTTAATATTATTTTATATTATCAAGATCTCCAGATGCAGGTTTGACCCAACCCGTGTTCTTTGTCCATTAACCACTGACAGCGAGTAACTCCTTGAAAATAGGACTTTATCACATAGAGTTATCAGACTATATATGTTCTAACCTGCACAGGGACTACAGATGACAATGAACTTATTAGATAACTCTGGCACATTTATATTGAAGTGTAAATTGCAGAGTTGATTAGTGTGCATTTTCGCTGGTAAATACAACTAAATAAATAAGTACTTGTAATAATTATTTCCAGTGAAAATCTGCAGTATCTGAACTTTGCACAGATGTTATGAACCATTACTGTGTGTTATTCACTTCTTATAAACTGCAAGTTCAAACACCTAACTGATTACCTGCAACATTACCTGTTTCTATCTTTCGCAGTCTAGCAAGACATTGTGTACCCTTCAGACCAAATCAAGAAAACTGCACCCTTAGCTACTGTAGTTTCAGGCTGCAATGCTCTTAGTATCAATATTATAATATATAATAAAATAATAAACCAGACATATTTGTCTCCTCTTTTCCTCTTTTCTTCTTCTATAAGCAGCTGTAATTAATATCACACAAGTTGTCCTTCTGTCTGCCTGCAAGATCTTCTGTCTTCTTCTGTCTGTCTGTCTGATGTCTGTACATATGTGAGGAACTGAGCCTCTGTCTCTGCTAACTTCTCTGCCTCCAGTCCTGGACAAAAATTAAAGTTCTTATTTGTCTTTCAGATCCTGTCCTTAAAGACCGATCAGGAGAAATCGCAGGTGAGTGAAGACTTCTGTACAGTGTGCTACAGTCCACCCTATACACTCTCAACGCCACTTGCATGGGGCCACACAAATTACACAATGGCCCCACCTTCCCTCATGTCAAAGCGGGTTTCAGTGTTTGCAACCTTGATGAGAGGATGAATGGAATATGTGTCATTATTCTCTGTGTTTGATAAACACCAACAGACAGCAGTGTTTAATAACTGTGCTTTATGGCCGTGATGCACATAATTTTAAAACAAGACAATTATTATCTATTCTCTCAGTCAATATTTATTTACGGCTCTGTATTGCATGGTGGAAAGCAATGGATTGACGTTGACTATTGATTAAATATTAAATTTAAATGTTGATTAGCTGGAATTTGAAAATGTATAAAAGGAAATCTGGAGAAGCCAGTTTGAATGGATTTTTATAGATCTACAACAAAACATATTTTAAGAAACTCTTAAAGTGTCCAGACTTACGTCAGAAATAGATACTTTCAGTCGTCAATAATTACGAAATTTCTCAAAAGAGGTAAAACTGTTTCTCACATTCTATCAAACAATGCTGGAGTGTGAAGTTAAAGCTCACATTGTGCTTTTCTGTTTCTGTCTGTGCTTTCCCCTTAAACACAATGTATTCCACATCCACAGTCAGGGAAGACATAAACACAGCAACATCCCATTATGACATTTCTAGCTTTTCTTTATATTGTTTTATTTACAGGAGCAGCTCCAAAGCCGTACATCAGGACACTGAATGCCACAGAGTACAGGGCTCTGCTGCAGTGTGAGGTTAAAGGTGCTTCTCCTAAACCTAAAGTAGAGTGGAAGGACAGTGCTGGAAACATCCTTCCTGCTGAGGAGCCACAGGTCTCAGACAGAGGAGGACGTTACTACGTTACCCTCCTCACCACTGTGACCAAGACCGACCACTACCACTGTGTAGTCACACAGGAGGAAATCCACCATCAGACTCATTCTGAGACCTACGTGTTCATCAATGGTGAGATTTCTTTCTTCGTGGTTTCATCAATTCATTTTCATTATTCATGAGTTTTTAGACCCCTTTAATTGTTGTTGTGTGTAGTCTATGAGCAGTGTGCTGTACATGATCTGCAGTTATAATTTGAGTGTAACATTAACTTCAGGAAGTCCCATTGAGATCAAAAATCTCTTTTACAAGAGAAACCTGGCCAAGAAAGCAGCCGTACAAAATCACAATATATTAAAATGTAACATATACAACATAATATGCAGAAAGGTCCACAATAAAACCACAATAAAACACAAATTCAAATACAATGGCTTCTCAAGAAAATACTAAAATCATCAAGCAACTGTAAGCAAGCTTTAGAGAAGACTATGAACTCTGTCTTTTGAGCATTTAAAACCAATTTTACACTCAGCAGAGAAGTTTGTAAATTAAATGAAGTCTGAAGCTCTTGCTTTGCTATGGATGGAGCATGCGTGTATAAATGATGGTGTCATCAGCATAAAAGTGTGTTTTTGCTTGAAAAATAAATAGGTCCCAAAATGGAACCCTGGGGGACACCTTTAGCTATCTCAAGAAAATCTGATATATGGCCCTCTGCCTGGACACAAGAAGAATGCCTGGAGAATTTAGGCAGCTTTCTAAATTTTAGGTATTGGGTTGAAAAGAAGACTCAAAAATATGAGGAATGGGCTCAGCATTAAATCTGCCACTAGCTTTAGAAGTTGGGGATCCAGATTGTCAGGAACTACAGACTTTTTGTGGTCAATGTCTTTCATAGATTTATTTACACACTTGAGCTACTGAAATAGGTTTAAAATCAAACAAATCCAGCTTTCCATCAGTTGCTGTAGTGGCGGAACATGGGATTGATGTATTTAAGTTAGAGCTGTCAAATACACACCCAGCACAAAGTGTTTGTTAAACTGACTGACCATGGCAGCGTTGTCCTTTATTTGTGACATGTTTCAGAGAAACTGTTGGAGGTGCTCATGGGATCGTTGTTGGGTGGATGGATTTTAGGAGTTTTAACTCTTGCTGCAGTTCTGGCTTTGCTTGTGGCTCAAAGCGTCAAATACGAACGTAATGAAGGTAAGTTATATAGAATGTATCAACATAATCCAAATGTCGCATCAAATAACAGATACACTGAAACTATGAGAAAAATTATACCTAACATTTAAAATTTTGGGAGGCGGCATCAATCACAAAAAACTTAAAAGCTGGCTTTATTCAATATATACTTTCACTTTCTTTCTGCAGGTTCTAATAACGTTCTCAGATGACGCCACTTAATCTACAACCTGTTCTGTGTTAATTTCCCTTTTCCAAATTATTTTGCTCAGTGTCAACGATCCTCCCCTGCGGTGATTAAAGCTGATTACTGCTGTGCACAGGGTGTGGGACTGCTCCTACACTGGACTGAGAGCAGCTTGGTGACCCCCCACCCCATCTAGCAGTGTGATGACTTTAGTGTAAATTTGTGTGAGAGTTTTTGCTGAGCTTATATGTTGACTTTTCTAACCTCCGCTCTCTTTTATCATTGGATTTGATTAACCGCCTCACATTTAGTCATTCTAAAGAGGTCATTTTACCCTTAATATTTGTTATCCTAAGAAATGAATTTTTTCATCCTGTTAAGGAGTATCTGTGAGTTTTTCTTTTATTTGTCCGTGGTTGGTAGTGTTTCCTCGGGCCTCTCGGGGCTTGGTCTAGAAGAAAGTACACTTAAAAAGAACCTGATAAAACGAGCTTCGGAGATGTCTTTAAGATTCATGATTACGTGATTGCTATTAATTAAATGTTCAGCTTCTTTAAATAGGGCTTCAAAAGGACGGTCAAAAGAAAAACACTAAGACGGTAATCGCAGGTGACTGTAGAACAGCAGCATCCCTGAATGTATGTACATGTAACCGTTGTAGACTGAATATGTTTGTGCCCTAAAACAAAAGCACAAACTTAAATACTTAACAACTCAAAGCGAAGCCTTGTGAAATGCTATGCTGAGAAGGAGATTGGAAGTCAGAGGCAGTACTGTAAGATCGGCCGCTACAGGGTCAGGTCCAAACAGCACCCTCTACGGTGGTGCAAAGACAGACTAGGCAGTGAACAACTCAGGACATGCGACCCAGCAGGGTCAACTTGAAAAGCAGCCAACCAGATCAGTTAGCAGTGTGGAAGCTCAGTGGACTTCTGTGTGTTTCCGTCAATGATTGTGTTGCGCTTCTCTCGAAGGAAATGTGAGTGATTTTGCTGGTGTAGTGTATGGGATAGTTTTGCCTACTATGGGCAGGTTTGTGTTATTTTACATGCACGAGTATGTTGTGTGAGTTTGAGGTCAGCTACATTTGGAGATTGTAGGACTTTTGTTTGTTAATGCTAATATCTGCAACGTCAGTCGGTATTGTGTTGTGGAGTTTGCTTGACCATTGCTTAAGTTAATAGCGTTAAAAGGTCGAATTATTCTACTGGGTGACATAGTCGTATGTAAAGCTCCATGCTGTTTGGCATGCTTTACTCTGCTAATGTTATGTTGAAATTGCACTGCTTATTCCACCCTATTATGAATCTTTTGTTGTTGTACTTTTCTAAGTAGCGGTTTTGCAATATAAGTTAGGGATATTACTGATAACTAATATCTTATGCTCATATAAGCAAATTATTTGAGATGTTTATTTGATTTAACTGCTGAATAAACATGTTGAGCATTGTTGTAATACAGTTTATTTCTTTTCTTTATTTTAGACACACACAAAACAACACAAAACACCCATATACGTTGTACAGCATGTTAAAGTCCGAAACCATCAATAAAGAAGTAAATCAGATCTCTCTCTCCAAGTGCTTGATTCTCTGACCGAATCATAGTCATAATCTGCGCTCCAACAGCAATCATTTACAGAGGCTCGCCTCAACACGACAGAGTCAGATGAGAGGGATGGAAAACAAGACACTTTTCTCTTTAACGTTTAGCTGAAATACGCCTTGTTGGAAATATTTTCATGGTTTGTGAATCATTTTTCAGTATTGTTACAGAAAGTTTTTCATCATGGTGTCAAACACGAATCTTCTAGACGCAATGTGTGATGTTCTTTGAATCTTAATTTGTGCAGTGTAGTATATTTTATTTTATTAAGAGTTGTCAGCCATCTTCTCTGTTGCTTCAATGTGTCTTGTTGTGTTGTTTCACTGTATATATTCTGTCTGAATGTGGATTATTGATGCTGCTGTCATTACAATAGTGAGCATACACACTCGCCTCAATGTGAGGTAGAAGATTGTGTGTTTAATATTGAACTTGAAGTTTATGCTGGTGAAATAAAGAAGAGTTTTCCAGTTCAAGTTGTTAAGTTGTCTTTTCTTCCTCATGTGGTTCTACAAACTCTACAATCTGTCTACCATCACTTCCTGTTTCAACTTGAAATTAGTTTGTATAAACACTACCGACGTTTGTCCACGGGGGTCGCCAACATCAACATTTTGAGTTTAAGTCAACGTCAGACTCTTTCAGTTAAAGTTAAACTAACCTTCTCCAGAAAAAGCTTTTTAGAAAGAAAAAATATATTTCAAAAATTGTGAAATGAAAATAAATAATTTTATATTCCAATTGAAAATATTACTTAAAAAACAGCTCAACCTGAACAGTTTCTGAAGTACGGCAAAACGTTTTAGGTTATTTTAACTCACTAACTTCTAACTCTTTTCTTCAAACTTAACATTTAGTGAGAAAAAAACTTCTCTTTAAATTATGGATGTTTCTCAGTTTGTTTTTTACAGTGAACAGTAAAAACAACCAACGATATAATTCATTACAGTTTAAGAGTCACAGGGGACATTTTCTGATTATAATATACTTTTACTTCAGTAACATGTTTTCATGCAGGATCTTCTTACTTTGAATCTGATGTGAATTCTTCCTCCACTGTGTGGATGCTGCTCTGTGGAGGAAACCCTTCAGCAGAAGAGAAGCTCACATTAACAAACAGAAAGAAGTATTTTGTTTTTATAATGACCGACTTCATGAGGTTCCCTGGAGATCACCATGTTACCTTATGAACCAATGAAACAGTGTGCAGACTGTCTGTCCGTGACAACAATCTCTGTGCGTGTCAAACAGTGGGTGCCAAGAAACACCACAGTGGCGAAATACGCAACACAATATGTCCTGTTCCGGCATGTTATACGCAACAACAGTCATCTGTAGGCTACTGTAAATCACTCTCACCCACAAATGACAGGAATTATGTCACTGTGGTGAGGGTGATGATCATGTGCAGCCTGAGGTGTGTGTGTGTGTGTGTGGTGTGTGTGTGGTGTGGTTGAGATCATATGGCTCTGTACAGTGGTTGTGGTGTGTTTATATGTTGAACATTGTCGCTGTATGTAACCCACTGTGTTTATGTCTCTGTGTTTCTCCTCGTGTACACGCCAGTGCGTCTGTGTGTGGCGCGCATCGTCCGTCCACTCTGCTGTCCTGAACATTAACTGTATGTGCCAATTTTCTGACGCCGTCAATGTCACCATATGATAACCTTACCGTCCCAGCGCTCACCCACGACACACACACACACACACACACACAACTGATCTCCCTCTCTCGACCATGCAAAACCCACTCTCTCTCTATCTGTAGGCTTTTCATTCGCCTGATCCTCTTTAAACTGATGTAGGCTTCCCCGCTGCTGGCTGCGCACGACTCTCTCGCCGGTCGTTCACAGCGACCGAGCACCGAGGCGGACGGACTCTCTCATTCTTCTCTTCTGCGCACAAACAAGTTTTGACAGCTGCAACGGCGAACACGGCACAGCGGAGAAAACTGCGTGCGTACGTTTAAATAAGAAACAACAACAAACAACATACCGGAGCTGGGGAGCGAGAGATGGCACTGAAGGGGATCCTGCAAGGCAACAGACTGCTGGCTGAACTGACGGGAACCACATGGTTGTCTGATTTTCCAGTGTGACTGGAGTGTTGTGCGCTCTCTTTACTCTGATAACATCCTCACTGTCTGACACACACTTAGACTGTATTCTATTAAATACCCACAGCACCACAGTGGCAGATCCTGTCGCTGTGAGACATTTACAGAACCCTGCTGTCGCTGTGGATGAGGGTTTAACGGCTGCTGTCCGGTAGAGCGAGTAGCTACCAGCAGAGATGGACAAACACATTCGCATGCGTCACACAAACTACAATTGATATGAACCAGTGCACCAACTCCTCATCATTTAGAAGCAATTCATTAGCCTATCCGACGTCGACACCTGAACAGAGATTATTTCTCCTTCCTGAACATTTGAAGTAAACTTCCTCTCCTCCCCCCGCGCTGTGTCTCCCCCCTCTCTCCGTGATACCTCCGTAGGATTCCAATGAAGCGGCGCATCGGGTGATTATAATTTCTTTGGGGATTTTGGCTCTTTGCACACCGGGAATCATGTGGACGCCGACGGAGACGAGAAGATGGGAGTGGGTGAGTGATCAGGTTTAACTCGGTGCATCCTGCTGTAGGTGTGTTTGGATGCAACACGACCCTAACGCTGAGAGTGGCTTGTTAACCAGCGGATGTTAGTTTCATGTTTGCTCATTTTCAGCTCATTAAAACATTAATTGAATTCCTTGTGCTAATGTGAAAATTCTGATGAGATCCTAGTCTTCCTCCTCTGTAACACTTCTAAAGGGATGCTTTGCTCTGTGGACTCTTATAGCACTTTATGGGTGTTTTTTTCTATGCGGTGTCATCAGATATTCCGCATATAATCTTTAAGTATTCCCTTTGAGACATGTCTGTGCTAGGTGAGGGCAGTTTGTGACATTATGGTATTATGGAGTCGTGTATTATCTGTGGTATTCACTGACTCCCGTGTGTGTGTTTATGAGAATGGTCTTGGCT